GCAGGTCCAGCAGGAGAGGGGCTGTGCCACTGCTTTTTGTGGGGATGAGATGCTGGCACTGGGACTGAGGAGGGGTAGCTGGTCACCAGCACGCCCTGGCACATCTTGGGACCACAGATACCTTTATTTTCATGGACCCTTCCCTCTTGTTCCTCTTTGAATTTCTCTATAAAAAATTGGAATGGTGGTGCAATAGGGCATCAAAGGTATTTTATCACTCTTGGAGGTTGAGTAGATTTATCTTTTCTGGAGCATGCTGCTGGTCTTAGAAGAGCATTGTTCAGGGAGACCTTCTCACACCATTGCTGCAGGAACTGCCAGCCTTGTGTCCCCACCTTGGAAAGCAGCACCAACACACACTGAGCACTGCTCCCTTTGCACCCTCTGGTCCCACCTTTCAATGGCTGAATGCTAAAATCCATGGCTGCAATGTTTTTAAAATTTATATCACCTTTCTCATAGTGGATGCCTGTGGTGGCAGAGTCTGTCTCTCTTCCCGAGTTGTCTTTAAAATGTCTACTACCTGTAGAACTGTCCTAAAAACCTGTAGCCCTTACACCTTTTCCTTTGTAACATACCTCTGAGTAGATTTTTCTCTTGCCATGAGCTTCCCTGAGCATCGTGTCCTTCCTGAACTGAGAGCAAATCAGCCAAACCAGTGGGTACTGTCAGCAAGTGTGAATCTCAGAGGGACTGGATGTACAAAACCACATTGTGTGGTGTGTTCTGCTGAAGGTAACACATTACTCTACCCCAAATACTAATGATATTAATGGCTTAGACATCCCCCCCCACCCCCCCCAAATTTCAGATATGTAATTCTCCATGGGATCTGGTCATTATCTGGAGAAAGGAGTACATTAGCAGACGGATCAAATGTATGGTTAATCAAGTAGAATTAATTTCTACCCACTGGCTTCAACCTCCTAGGCGTGGCAATGAAAGGGGAATAAATAACCCAGTGTGGTACAGGAAAAACCCCAGGTTTCAGTGGAGCAGAAGGGTTCTGCACCCAATAACTGCACCTGCTGCTGCTGGCTTATCACTGCTCTCAGTCTGTGCTCCCTGGGACAGATGTGTGCAGCTGGAGGGCTCACTGTGAGTGCAGGCTGCTGGTGGATCTGGCCTTTGCAACACACAGGGAATAGGAATGCTCTGTCCTGACTCCTCAGAGCCCATTGCTGCTTCCCACAAAGGAGCTGCTCTGTATCCAGACACCTCTACTGCCAGGGAAGGGCAGAATCAAGGATGGCCTTGTACCCTGATCTGCTTAAAAATATTTGGGAGCAGTAACAAGCTGCTCCTTTTGCTATCATATATTGCTGTAATGCTTCATCATGAAAAAGATTGCTGTGCTTTAGCTCCTAGGAGTTCACAAGTCTTTGTGGTGATGACAGTTTGAGCTTTTGTTCCACCTTATCCTCCAGAGCCACTGGAACATTAATTCCTCTGCAGTGTTCAAGGTTTTCAACAATCTTTGAGCAGGAAGAAGCTTTGTGGTGACTTTGTGAACTCCAAGGAGAATTTTAAGAATGATCCCAGACCACAATCTTGTTCCTGCCAGTCTCGAGAGAATGAAGCACTTTCCCTCTAACAGAAAATGCTCCAGGACATGTGTGACTAATTTGTTACAAGGTAATTAAAAATTATCTGTATTACTGCAGTGCTGCATGATTTTGTTTAAACAAGCATTCTGGGTGAAGATGAGTTGAGAAGCTGGAACAGCTCCTTTCATCTGTTGTTGGTTCCTCTCCTGATGGGAGGGAGTTGGCTCTGTCCTGCTGTGGGGCCTGAGGAGGTAATTGCTGTCAAGCACTCATTGTAGCTGGCATTTAGAACGTGCATCTTGGTTAATGAGGAGAGCTGTCTGTGCTCAGAGTGGGCTCCTGAGCTGTCCCGGTGGTGGCACAGTGCAGACCACATGGATTGATGGAGGATGCTCATGATAGAGATGCAGTTTGTGTGGGCAGGGAGTGAGTCTGGAGATTGACACCTTCCCATGGCATGGGCAGGGAGTGGAGACAAAGATGTTTCAGGTGTGGGTAGTAGAGGTTGAACAGCCTGTTTTGTATTTGACCCTGGCAGGGAGGAACAACCTGCTCTCTGTATCCTTGTGATCAGCTGGGATGCTGTGGAGGGGGATGGATGGGAAGGTTGTTCTCCAGGGTCCTTGTCTGTCAGGGCTTCTGCCATGCCCCACATGGGGGTGTCTGGGACCCATCCTTCTGCCTGCTGGCTTTGGCAGCTACAATTCTTGTCCTTTGGTAGGGCTGTGTTAATCTTTCATCAGTGGTGCCTCAGCCAAGCAATGGCGTTGGTGCCCTAACACGGCTCAGAGGTCAGGAGGGACAGCCTCACCCTGCTGATGTGTGAGGAGATTATTCTCTGCCCGTGACTGACAAGCACTTCTGAATGGCAGTAGCCACTGTTCCTCCTCCAGTGTCCCCCCAGGAGGTGTTGGGCAACCTCAGAACCCCTTTGATCCAGGCAGGAGGGTGACAGAGAGCTTGAGGATGTCACTGCCCCTGCTGCCACATCCTCAGGCAGTGAACAGCTGGTGGACATCTGAGGGGATGGGACAACCTGCCCTGCTCAGGGGTGACAAGGAGGTACAGCCAGGCAGGGAGATCAGAAACACCGGGGAGGCTGTGCCAAGCACTGGGAGATGCAGCCAGAGCAGCAGCCTCCTAATGCCTCCATGTAATGAGGCTCAGCCACATGCATTTGCATAGCTCACTGCTGGACTAATTAGTACAATTAACTTCTTACGTGTCCAACAACAAGCTTAGTGGGAAAAAAAATCTACATTGTAAGGGAGAGTGGCCATTTCCAGAACAACAATGAAAACCGTGTCTTAAGTTGTTAACTGTGAAAGAATTGAATCTGCAGGGAGAGGGCATGCAGTGCAATTAAGTTTAGGGATTTCCAGTGTAGGTGCAGAGAGGATAGGGACACAGTGAATGGCCCATGTTTTAAAAAGGGATCTGTTTTGCAGAAATTTCCAGCATGTACAGTGGGGGAGTGAAAATAAAAAACAACCAACTAAACAACAAAAACTCCCCAAAACCAACACACCAATTTCAAATACTGTTTTGTTTTATTTGACTTCCTCTTGGAAAGAAAAATAGCAGAAATGTGGAGTAAAGCAAACCTTCATTACCACTCACAACAGGTAGAAAAGTAGACCAAGCCAGTTGGAAAATTCAGACTGATCCACTTATATAAAACCTTGAAAACAATTCTGTTCTGATGGCTGGGGGAAAATGTATGAACAATAGCCTCACAGTAAACATTTAGAAAATACTGTGACTTAAACTATGGGGACTAAAGAGATGCAATTGCAATGTAAACTAGGATTGTGTCAGAGTATAATCCAGCAAGAAATCAACAAAGGCAAGATTTGAATGCAAATTGTTGTTTCTTGTTAGAGAGGTGCTGTTCACTTATTTTTTTTAATTAGCTGTTGCCTGGGTTGTGGCATCTGAGAAAAGGCAAGGTTGTCCAGTTTACTACCAGAACAATTCCATGTTGCAGATCTTTGATGTCATGGTTCCTATGAACTCCAGTAAATGTAATGGTGAAAATGCAGAAACAGTTAGGGAGTCTGAGTGGTGTCTTTAGGAAAACTTGGCCTGCCGTTGATCTGTTCCTGAACCAAGGATCAAAATTATCCCAGGTGTAAGGAGACATTGACTGCAGGGGTGGTGGTAAATGTGACCTTGTATAAAAAATCCGTGCTGTAAAATTGAGGCTCAAACGAGGCATAATCACTTCCCTGTGAGATAAACACTGTGATGTTCCCTTTCCTTAGCAGGCTGAGATCCCAGTACCACGTGAATGAGAGAACATTTAGCTTTACACAGCCCTGAGGACAGCTCTGGGCTCCATCCCGGCTGTGCTGGGTAGGAGGTGAAGATGGGAGAAGCAGCGAACGTGACATTTTCGTGTCACCAGGTGCTGGGGTGAGTGAGGGCTCGCATCAGTCCCAAGCCAACACTGAACAGCGCTGCTCTAAGTTCTGCCCGCTGACTGAGGGCTCCTTCCCGGAGCGTGGCTCTCTCTGCGCCTCTTGCTCAGGCGCATCCCGTGTCACCCCGTGCCGACAGCGAGCTGGGCTCGGAAGGCTCCTGTGACAGCTCCGATGTGTCGGAGGGATCTCTGTCATGGCACAGAAGCTGCAGGGAGCGAGCTACAGCAGCGCGGAGCGGAGCAGGGAACGCGTGCCCGTGTGTCACCCCGCAACGTGACCTCCGTGGCAGCCAGCGCAGCAGCCACGCACGGTGCCCCCGTCACACCGGGGGCTGGGGGGATGGAGGAGGATGGAGGAGGATGGGGGCCGCGTTTCACCCTTCGGCAGTGAGGGGCAGCTCCCCGGAGCGTCTGGGAACCGCTTCCCTGGCAGCGCTGCATCCTCCCGAGCGGGCTGGCAGCGGGGCAGCGGCTGCCCCTGGCACAGCTCAGCCTCGGAGGGGCACCGAGGGCACCGCAGCCTCCGCCAGCTGCGGGAGGGCGACAGCGCGCCTGGCACGAACCCGCGTGTGCGCGGACGCGGCCCCGCGGGGATGCGGGACGGGGATGCGGGACGGGGACGGAGATGGGGGACGGGGATGCGGAACGAGGATGGGGACGGGGATGGGGATGTGGGATGGGGATGCGGGACGGGGTTGCGGGACGGGGATGGGGATGTGGGATGGGGATGCGGGACGGGGTTGCGGGACGGGGATGGGGATGTGGGATGGGGATGCGGGACAGGGATGGAGATGGGGATGGAGATGGGGATGTGGGATGGGGTTGCGGGATGGGGCAGCAGCCCCGCGGGGATGAGAGATGGGGATGCAGGATGGGGATGCGGGATGGGGCAGGGACCCCGCGGGATGCGGGATGGGCATGCTGGACGGGGGATGATGGAGAGGTGCCGGCCGTGCGCGCCCCGGAGCCGCGCAGCGAGCCCAGGCTGCCGGTGCATGCGCAAGGCGCGCGCGGCCGCCGTGGAGGTGGGGAGGGAGCAGGACCACATCGCTGCCTCCGGCTCCGAGCTGCCAGTTGCTGGTTGCCAAGCAGTTATCATTGTTTCTGTGACGATTGCAGAGGCTGTTGCTAATTGAAGAAGCCCCCACAGCATCCTTCTCTCTGCTCCTGCTTCTGCTTTTATTTTAGAGGCTCAAGGGGGAAGACAGCCAGACTAGTGCTTTTTTACATTGCATTTTTATTTAATTCTTTTTGTGGGGGTGGGAAATTTCTCAGCTGGTGATTAAGTGATGGACTAGTTACTCATCCGTATCCCTTTAGTCTTTGTGTGTGTGTGTGTGTGTGTGTGTGTGCGTGTATGTCTGAACACACAGACGAGCTTACACACACACACACACACACAGAGTAAAATCCTGTTTGCCACTGCAGTGGGCACAAATAGGTGAGCATGACTACAGCCAAGGAGCAAAATGCATCAGGGAAACAAGTCCAACAGCAAGACCAGGTAATGCTTATTTTTCCTCAATTTCAAAGAGATACAGATTTGCAATGTGTGGCTTTGTGTTTCTTGTATGATTATTATGATTTTTTAAAAAATCTTTTTGGTGTGTGCTCTTAAAATTGTCAACTGAGTCACCAGCCAGTGGCAGGAGGGAAGTGCTGTGTAGCTGGCTTCAAGGTCTGCTTTCTCGGTGTGTGTGGAGACTTGGGGGGAACTGAAATTGTGCTGATTTTAACAGCCTCTACCTCTTGCTGAAGGCAATAGAGGTTTGTTCTTGTTCCTTACACCTGTGCTGGGAGGGGGGAATATGTTAGGATGGAGGCCCTTTCTCACTAGAAGAAGGGGGCAAGGGTATTTAAAAGCCTCTCTGCAGATAGATACAAAATTGTAAAAGTCGTGTTCAGCTTCTGACTTTGTCATGCACTTTCAGTGAATTTTTCTTGCCTAGCATTGTCTTGGAGGGGCATTTCAGGGTAGAGCATGTGCCCAGGCTGAGCATGAGCAAGCAGGGATGGCAGAGGGGGCAAAAAGCAGCTGCAAGTAGGTAAAACTCCTGCTGGCTTTGGGGCAAATTGCTTTGCTTGCAGCATATCTGAACTCGGTTAATTTATTGCACTTGGTAGGTGCTTTATGTGTTTCTGGAGTGGTAGAAAGTTAAAGATTTCATTCTCTCTGTCAAGCCTGTATTTTGGATGATATTCCTCTCTGCCTGCACTTACCAGGATGGAATGAAGTCAAAACTTTCCCTGTCTAAAAAGCAGCGGGTGGCAGAAGAAAAAAGAGATGTATCCTCAGCTGTAAAGGATGGGCAGAGTTAAGAAGTGGTGGCATAAGAGGAAGTGTGGCTGCGATCTCGGAGCTCCAGCTGAGGCTGCTGAAGGTTCCTGGGCTCTGGGGGCACTGGCAGATCAGCATCTCCCTTCTCCTCATGCCCACCTTCCCCTCCCCATGCCTGGGGCACCGCGGTGGAGCCCAGACACTCCAGTGCTGCAATTGTTCCTCATCTCCTTAAGACATTGGAAGTTCTTCACTTTAATCTTTGGTTAGGACAGCACAGGAGGATAATTTAAACAGATCTCTCAGGGCACAAATTAATTCTTAAAATAGTTCTTCCTGGAGTGATAGGCTGAGAGCCTCATATATTGTTTTATTTTATTTTTTTTTTCTTGTTATAGTATTTTAGGGAAAGGAAGACACTAAGCACCACAAATAGCATCATATAATCTGCATTTTCAGGGTGACTTTATACCAGTGACCAAAGCAGGCAGGCTCAATGGGTCAGAGAAAACAAGATGAAAACAACTTTGATATTTGGGGTTAAGAAACTATGACTTCATCTAACTCTGCAGGTGTTGGACTGTTCTTGTCTCTTCAATGCTTTTGGAATATATATTTTTGTCACTGTTTGCTGCAGATTAAAATGAGTCTACCTGTGTTTCTGGGAGGCAGCGGTTTAAAAGTGCCTTTTCTGAACAAAGAGGGTTATGGGGCTGTCCCTTCCTCCTTCTTCAAGCTGTGTAAAAGTGTTGAGTTTTGTAAGTGAAGAAGTATATGCTGCATTTTTATAAAGCAGAAGTGGTTTTGTTTCAAGTAATGCTACCTGCCTAATGCCATTTTGCTATTGGCATGCCATGTCTTTGCTACTTTGGTCATGCTACATGAAGTACAAAATGCTCAGAATAGGTCTTTAGTATATGCAGAATCTTGATTGAGTATATTCCATAACTGGCTGAATCGCAATTATACCCATATGGTACACTTAAATATTCTGAAAGAACGTGCTCTCTCAGCTCTGCCCTAGTGTGAGCATGAAATAGAAATATCAAGAATATATAAATATCAATCATATTGATGAATATTAATGTCTGAGTCTGTGAGCAACTTTGCTCGCTCCCATCATTTCTTTATTGTTTTCACAATACATTATTAGTAAAATGGCTTGACAGCAGGGGGTTGAATCCAATCTCTGTCTATTGATTTGAGTGCACTTTTATCTTCCAACACCAAAAGCAGATCTAAACCCTTATTTTATCTAAAACTGTTCATAACTGAAAAAAGGCTCTATTCAAATTCTATTTCTAGCTGAAATTCTATTTCCGGGCTTATGCATATCAAGAATTACTAAGCTCTTTTTCTTGCTTAAAAGTGATCAAGAAACTGAAAAATGCAGCTTGGGGAAAAATTGAAGGCAAAGTGCTGGTCTGGCTGTAGAGGACTGAGTCTTTTTCAGTAGCAGCTGCTGCTGTCGTAAGAGATTTTGACCGTCCCTTTTCTGTGTTCCTTGCTGTGACATTCCCTGGACCCAGAGGCAAGCAAGTGTCACATTTGGCTTAAATCTGTGCTGTGTCCTACCATACTAACCCAAACAGAAGCTGGCCATGAAAAGACACTGCTGGAACAGGGTGGGGAAAGTTTGGAAATGTCTGCAGAAGCTTTGCAGGCATAAATTTAAAAATCTACTTTAGACTCATGTGTCTATATGCAAATGAAGTCGTGTTCTGTCTTGAGATTTACAAAAATGATAATAATTAGAAAATGATTGGGATGTAGAGATAAGCAGAGCACTGCTTTCGCTGCTGAAAGCAGGCAATCCCTTTCTTCCTAAGGTAATTAAAAATGTTTTTATACAATTTCTTTCTGATAAGCAGTGCTGCTCACCTCCATGCCAGTTTTTAAACTGCTCAGAATTCCAGTCATTTATCTCCTTGCTTATCTGTCTCACGGGTCTGAACTCTAAATCTTTTGGACATCATGTACAGAGAACATTCTGTAAGTGATAAGCAATGCTGTCTGTTACTGTCAAGTTGTGATTACTTGATCAAGATGTGGGTTGGACGTGGTTGCCTCTGTGCTCTTGACTGCTCCTGGTGCAGCTGTGGTTCCTTGTTCCAAGGGCTGGATTTGGGCACAGTGCAGTGCACCATTAGCCCAGCTGGCTTTCTGCTACACCCAGTGCTCAGGAGTCTGTGCAAAGCCTGCAGACACTGACAGACTCAGGATCTGGCTCAAGAGGACTTGAGAATCTTGTTCTCCCCCTTGGGATGTGTTAGCTGGATGTGTGGATATGCCATTAAAACGCTTTTCCATTAAAAAGGGGAAGAAAATAGCAAGAGCAGGTCAAGTACTTTGACAATGCTTCAGCTATTTACACAAGCTGAAGATCTCTGTGTTTTAACATGTTAATATTATTTTAGCCCAATTCTTGCTGCTTTTAATGGCCTTTGGGAATACAAATAGCTCTGCAGTCATATATAAAGATAAGGAGGCTGATTTTTTAATGAAAATGTGGTAACAGGCATAATGCTAAAATGAGATTTTTAAATATTTTAAAAAGTGAGTCAGCATATCAAGTATAACAGGATCACAGGTTATCAAATAAAAATTTTTCTAAAACATATTTAAAGGATTGATTGGTTAATTGGGTATTTGAACACTGAGGATAAGGATTGTTCTCATTTCTTTTGCTGTGTAGAGAAGAACTGTCAAGGGCTTATGGGAAGCAAGACCCTGTTCTGAAATGTGCCCATGTCCTAGACAAGGTTGCTAATGACTGCATGGAATCCATGTAAAAGACTAAAATATAAGTGAGGAGACAAAATAGCTTGAGGGCTGCCTTATTGAAGTGGGCTCCATGGAGGAGTAGAATCAGATCAATAGAACAGTTCTGCCTATGAGCTGTCATTAAGGTAATCAATTCTGAATTTTACAGAACAGCTGGAACTCCAAATAAGAGGTGTGATGTCTTCAAGTGGAAAGAGAACACATTTTACTTGGAAAACCTAGGCCAGACTCAAGAATAAAATGATGGAAAGATTAATATTTCATGCTGCTAATGTTCCCCTGCCACTCTACTTCACAGAAATAGCCTGTAGTATCTTGAAGAGTGAATACAGTTGGAGTATCTAATATACTATGCTGAAATGTGCCTCTACTTGTGTAACTTTATCCAAATAAGAAGCTAAGTGTGCACTTCAGCTGCATTGTGCAGCTGTGTTGTTTTAATTCAGGTAATTCTGGGATTCCTGTACCAGGGGATGCCAATCCCTGTGTGCCCTTCTGTCTTCTTGCAAGGTCGTAAATGTTCTCTATCATTGTGAACTGAGTCCTCTGCTGTTACTTCATTCCCAAAGTAGATTAAACTAAGAAATATGGGTGTGCTCACATTGGGAGGTGGTGTGTGAGAGTTGGAGAGATGATACTGAGGTAGCAAACACATATTTTTGATTGGAGAATTATTTCAAACAAATTCCAGACTGGTGTGCATGTTCTTTAGTAGCTGTTCAGCATCTTCTGTCTAAGCATTATCTGAAATGAAACCAGTTTCTGTACTCTGAGTCTACTGTAAAATGTGAGTGAGAGCATGGTAGCTGTGTACAACTGAGAGATTTGGTCAGTAGTGCAGTTCTGAAAGGAACAAAAGGACTAGAAGTCAAACAAATGTGACTTAATGTGAGCTACATTCCTGTATCCAAAGATAGAAGGATCTAATATATAGATATACAAATATCTAGATATACAAAGATATGTATATATTTTTTCCTTCTGAGATGTGACTTAAAATCATTCCAGATCTTCTCTGCTCACTTGGCTGCTGTCCAGAAAATCACTGCCCCTGGGTACCAAATGTCTTGGTTGGTTCTACATGCTTTGCATGAAAGAATGCAACAATCCTGATTCTCTGTGGCAACAAAGCCACCCTACAGCACGTGAGCAATACAAATTATGTCCAAAGAGTGCAAGATCCCTTCACATTGTAAACAGGCAGTGGTGAATTATAAGTTGTGAATTTTATCTCTTTGAAGCAGGGAAGGGACATTGCCCTTTTATTTGTTGATATATTTCTGTTGTATGCCAGATCACAAAGAGCCACTGCTGAACCCTCTCTCTTTTTTAGCAAGGTTTGAAGTTCCACATTTTAACTGAATGTTCGTAAGCAGATTGAGCTGTGAATTCACAAGAAAGCTCCGATTCACAGAGCCATTATCTGGCACAGTCACACTCCC